TCATGATCTTCAGGAAGCGAATAAGGAATTATTGGAGGCTTCCCTTTGGGAGGAGGAGCTTTTGCAACAAAAATCAGGGGAAACTCATTTCACTCAAGGTGATAGAAATACCAAATATTTTCATGTTTGTATTAAACAAAGAAGAGCTAATAACACCATCGTCAGGATTAAAGATGAGGAGGGAAACTGAATTACTGGGGATGAGACGATTGGGGAGAGTGCAGCTATTTATTACTCTAAACCCTTTCAATATTAGGAGACCACGAGAACTATTGATGCCTCTTTATTTGATGATGTCAGACATCACATGGTGAATCTTGACCTATGTCATCTTCCTTCGGAGGAAGAGATTCATACCACCTTGCTTGATATAAATTGCAACAAAGCACAGGAACAAAGCACCGGACCCTAATGGTTTTACTTAGGATTCTATATTAAATGTTGGAGTATTGTCAAGGAGCAGGTAGTGGTTGCTATTCAAAGCTTTTTCAAGGGGGACACTCCGGGAAATTATTTTTCTGCCGCTATTATTGTTCTTATTCCTAAGAATTCTCAAAAGTCTTTTTGGGACCATTTTCGGCCTATATCTCTTACCTCTGTTCTCTCCAAGCTGATCAGCAAGATTATTGTCAGAAGAATTCAGCCTCTTCTAAATGATTTAATATCTTTGAATCAATCGGCCTTTATTCAGGGCAGGGGGATCACTGATAATTTCATGCTGGCCCTGGAGCTGATACTTGATATTGATAAAAAATGTAGAGGATGGAACATAATTGCTAAATTGGATATCCGGAAGGCTTATGACTCTCTCAGTTGGGATTTCATTGTGAAAGTTCTATTGGCCCGGGGTTTTTCTCAGGATTTCTGCAAACTTATCCTCTCTTTGCTCCATTGCAACAAATATAGTGTTCTTATCAATGGTCAAGCTAGAGGTTTCTTTAGTGCTGGTAGAGGCATAAAGCAGAGAGATCCTCTATCACCTACTATTTTCATTTTAATATTTGATTATCTTTCTTGCCTCCTTAACAACCTTTTCAAGGATAATCCTTCTTTGCATTATGTTCATAAGTCAAAGATGATGGTGTCTCATCTAGCTTATGCTGATGACATGATTTTATTCTCCAATGCAAGTAAAAGGTCGGTCAAGGAGATACATTGTTTATTGGCCGATTTTCAATCCATTTCAGGGCTCCTCTTTAATGCTAGCAAATGTCATATTTATATGGCAGATATGGTTAATCGTGCTAATGTTTCCTAGATTGCTAATTTTTCAGGTTTTTCTTTTTCTCAGTTTCCACTAAATATTTGGGGGTGTATCTGCAGAAAGAGGCGTATTCAGTTTGATGATATTGTGGAAAATGTGTAGAAAAGGATTATGGATTGGAAAAATAACTTTCTCCTTTGGGGGAAGAATCACTTTGCTCAGGAGCATTCTTCATTCTCTTCATTTGTACACTCTCCAAGTCCTCGAGCCTAAGAAAAGCACTCTTTTAAATCTGGAAAGATGTTTCAATAAGTTCCTTTGGCTGGGAAATCATTCTGGCCGGAGATGGCTCTCTTGGAAGGATGTTTGTAAACCTCTTTACGCTGGAGGTTTGGGTTTCAAATCTCTGCATCACATTGCTGAAATAAATGTTTTTAAATAATGGTTCAATCTAAGGAAAGGGGATTCTTTGTGGGCTAAGTTCATGCATGGGAGATACTGTCGGTCCTCCCTTCCTTCTTTGGCCAGGTGGCGATTAGGTGATTCTACTATGTGGAAGAGGTTGCTTCTTATTAGAGATTGGGCCAAGAACTACCTTTACTGGGAGTTGGGTGATGGTAGTATTTCTTTCTGGCATGATTGTTGGTCCCATGTTGTGCTTGAGCTGAGAGACTTCAGTCTCACCAACCTTAAGGTGTCGGATGCTTGGGTGGATGGACATTGGAACATTCCTTTATTAATAAACATTCTGGGGACGGAGGGAGCAAACTTTATTTCCACTATTCCCTTTGATCAGCAACTGCATGACACTCTGAAAATGAAAACTCCTTTAAATCATTCCATTACTAAGTCTTTATACTCCTCTCTTCATAATTTCCAGATGCTCCCATGGGGGGAGGGTGTGTTGAGTTGGGCGTTAACTCCATCTATGCCTTTTTTGGCTTGGCGGATTTTCCATGTTATCATTCCTTGTGATGATATTCTCAAATTAAAAGGTTTGAGACTTGCTTCTAGATGTTGT